TCAAAAACGGCTAACTATAACGAAAACTCACAGGAGAGCTTTTTTATGTTGAAAAGTGCGAAGAATCAGTTTTTTATTCAAAAAGCAAAAAATTGCACTAAGAAAAAATTTTCGTTCATTTCAATACACTACAGGTACAGTAGAGAGCGCCCTCTAGCGGCTACAGTAAAACTATGCCCATGGTTCGTTTTGTCGTACCAAAAAATCCTTGTATACCAATGTTCACTATTATACATCAAATATTGTTCGAAATATTTAAAAAAAACTATTTTAGAAAGTAAATTTAAACACCCTGTATTTCGGAAGCCACGCATTTTTCGACCCATGTTTATATAGACTTATGCATTAATTTTAAAAGTTCTATCGAATCTTAAAGTTATGCAACAATAAACTGAAACACCCTGTATAATGTGCGTTTTTTGTATTTATTGAAAAAGTAAAGGAGGACATGAAAATATAATTTATAGTCCGGCGAGCCTCGACAAAGAAATAGTTGGGAAACCCTGCTCTAGAGGAAAGTTACTAATGATCCAAACAGCTAAAATCTGCTCGAAGCGACAACAATACAATTTGTTGTGTATCTAGCAACCGCCTATTCAAAGAAACGTCGCGTTAACAGCGCAGGTGTGTTTTTCTACTCTCTGCCGTTCCGGTACCAGACTAAAATTCATGTTAAAGGGCATCAGACTAAGGTGATGAAAAAAAAAGAGTCGGAAATGCGAAGGTTTTCGGCTCGTTCCATCCTCATCGCGCGTCTGTATTCGTTTCCCTCGGGATCGTTCGCGCACGATCGGGCTGCGCCGGCACCTCTGCCGCGCCGCTCGGCAATGCTCCAGCGTCACGGCGTCGGTGTGCGACCCTTGGCGGGCGCGCTATGCATTTAAATTGACTCATTAACGCCCCAACGCAGCCACCTGTGATCTGCCTGCTGCTGCTGACGATGCTCTGCTGTTTCTCCTCCTCCTTCTAGCGATGCTGATCCTGCCCGTTTTCCGATGGACCTGCCTGCTACTCCAGATAGGTCAGGAATATCGAAGGTTGCTGTTCTGTGGAACGCATAAGCTGGAAGGGAATCCTTGGAATAGTTGGTAGAATGAAAACAGTTCCGCTGCCTAAGTGTTCTTATCCTGCTAACTAGGGTCAAGCGAGAACGATCAGTTTACTGCCAAATACGGCGTTGTATAGGAAGTGCAGAGTCAACCTACTTGATGCCATTGTTTAGCGACATTGTTTAGCCTGGCGTAAATTTCACTAAAATTGTTTTTTTTAATATTATTGTACATCTGTGTGTCTTACCTTATTGATTTTTTACATTCTTTTGCCAATTTGTATTTCATGTTGGTCATTTCATTGTTTATTGCTTATACTTACTTTTTTATGTTCTACTTTGACTGACATAAGCAAGCACACTTCCGTGCAATAACACCAATAAATTATCATTTTCTATTCCTCTGCTACGCCACTGATATTTGGATCGCATTGTACCTTTAAAGTAGACCAGTCCAACATTCCTCGCAACCCTTAAATTATTATTGTCTCTCCTCTGTTACGCCACTGACATTTGGATCGCATTATACCTATAGAATAGACCAGTCTAACATTCCTCGCAATCTATAATTTATTATTGTCTATTCCTCTGTTACGCCACTGACATTTGGATCGCATTATACCTATAAAATAGACCAGTCCAACATTCTTCAAAACCCATAAATTATTATTTTCTATTTCTTTGTTACGCCACTGACATTTGCATCGCATTAGACCTATAAAATAGAGAACATTCCTCAAAACCCATAAATTATTATTTTCTATTCCTCTGTTACGCCACTGACATTTGGATCGCATTGTACCTATAAAATAGACCAGTCCAACATTCTTCGAAACCCTGAAATTATGATTTTCTATTCCTCTGTTACGCCACTGACGTTTGGATCGCATTATACATATAAAATAGACCAGTCCAAGATTCCTCGAAACCCATAAAATATTATTTTCTATTTCTCTGTTACCCCACTGACATTTGGATCGCATTATACCTATAAAATAGACCAGTCCAAGATTCCTCGAAACCCATAAAATATTATTTTCTATTTCTCTGTTACCCCACTGACATTTGGATCGCATTATACCTATAAAATAGACCAGTTCAACATTCCTCGAAACCCATAAAATATCATTTTCTGTTCCTCTGTTACCCCACTGACATTTGGATCGCATTTTACCTATAAAATATACCAGTTCAACATTCCTCGAAACCCATAAATTAGTATTTTCTATTCCTCTGTTACGCCACTGACATTTGGATCGCATTATACATTTATATAATAGTCCAGTCCAACATTCCTCGAAACCCATAAATTTGTTATTTTCTAATTATTTAGTAAAGAAATGTATATTAAGTGTGGTGTCCCACAAGGAACTGTGTTAGGTCCGCTGTTATTCAATATACTCGTATATTTAAATGATATTTTCCAAATTAATTGTGTTGGCAAAATAACTAGTTTTGCAGATGATACTGCAATATTATATGAAGGCACTGACTGGTCTGATCTGAAAAATGTAATTGAAAATGATTTTATCAAAATTATTCGGTGGTTTAACAGTAGAAAATTAAGCATTAACTACTCTAAAACACATTTTTTACCATTTGGATCTTATGCTAGACATCTGCCAAATTACACAAATTTCTCCTTCAACATTAATGATCAAAAAATGCAAATTAATAGAGTGCCCAACATAAAATACCTTGGAGTGGTCTTGGATCCTCACTTACGATGGGACATCCATGTCAATGATATTTTAAAGAAAGTTAGATTTGTATCCTACAAAATTAAATACCTTGGGAATATATTGACAGAAAAATATCTTCGAACATTATACCATGCACTGATTGAGCCTCATCTCACATATGGTATATTAGCATGGGGAGCTGCATGTTCCTCACATATCTATAATTTAGATGTTTTTCAAAAAAGTATTCTAAAAATGATATTTAAAAAACCGAAACTTTATCCCACTGAAAAATTATACGCAGATGTTCGAATGTATGATATAAGACAGCTTTATTTCTTACACAGTATCACTCACTACCATAAATTTGTAAACACCGACCAAAAAATTAAACATAATCATTATACCAGGTACAAAATTCGTGGCACAGTAGTTCCTCAACCGCATAAATCTATAATGCAGCGATCATATCTCTATTTAGCGCCTAAATTTTATGAAATTATACCTAAAGACTTAAAAGATTTACGTTTCGGAAATTGTTTCAAAAGAAATTTAAAAAAGTGGCTACATTCTATATCTAGGACTGAAATTCATAAACTCATAAATACGAACATCAACTAAATACATAATCTACTGTAGCTAATTTTTGTCCTTTTTTGTCATTTGCATTCTAGAGTTTCAACTTAAATTTATTGGTCCATGTACAGGCGATGCCTTCTATTGGGCCTGTTTTGATTTTATATTTATTTACTCATATTGTTTGTTATCTTTGTACATTGAGTGAATAAATATTATTATTACTATTATTATTATTATTATTATTATTATTTCTTTGTTGCGCCACTGACATTTGGATCGCATTATACCTATAAAATAGACCAGTCCAACATTCCTCAAAACCCATAAATTATTATTTTCTATTCCTCTGTTACGCCGCTGACATTTGGATCGCATTATACATATAAAATAGACCAGTCCAAGATTCCTCGAAACCCATAAAATAGTATTTTATATTTCTCTGTTACGTCACTGACATTTGGACCGCATTGTACCTATAAAATAGACCAGTCCAACATGCCTCGAAACCCATAAAATGTTATTTTCGATTTCTCTGTTACGCCACTGACATTTGGATCGCATTCTACCTAAGAAATAGACCAGTCCAACATGCCTCGAAACCCATAAAATATTACCTATTTTCTATTTCTCTGTTACTCCACTGACATTTGGATCGCATTGTACCTATAAAATAGACCAGTCCAACATGCCTCGAAACCCATAAAATATTATTTTCTATTTCTCTGTTACGCCACTGATATTTGGATCGCATTCTACCTAAGAAATAGACCAGTCCAACATGCCTCGAAACCCATAAAATATTACCTATTTTCTATTTCTCTATTACGCCACTGACATTTGGATCGCATTCTACCTAAGAAATAGATCCGTCCAACATGCCTCGAAACCCATAAAATATAATTTTCTATTTCTCTGTTACGCCACTGACATTTGGATCGCATTATACCTATAAAATAGATCGGTCCAACATTCCTCGCAACCCCAGTTTGAACCGTTGCTATCGCCCTCGACCTCGGCTGTTCTACGATCCTTCAACGTCGTCAGGAGTTGTTCGAACATTCGGTCAACTGGGCCTCGGGGACCAGGCGGATATGATGCATGGGGGCGCTGATAGCCCCGGGCCCCCGGTATGCGCTGCCAAAGCGACGACGTATCTTTAGTGACAGATGGTGCGCTGGACGAGATGCCAAGCGGATAAAAATTATGGCTGTTTAGAGGGTTTCGTTTAACAGTTGTTATTAGTAACAGCGCTAGACAATAGCGAAAACCTCGGCACAAACTTTATGAGAAACGAATTTTGGCTAGTTACTTCCTCGCCTACTGGCCTGATACAAAACATTTAAAAAAGAGTTAGTTTATAAACCCAAAGACTTCTGCAGTCAGTTGATGAAACAAGCTGAAAGTTTAATCATTTTACTGGTAAGGGACACTGAACACGTATGCCAAAAATTATCAAAATCGGATAAACATACTTAGGTGTTTACCTTTCTTGTCACTCAGTATAGTATGTTCGACAGGACAGTGAAGAAGAATACGTGACATTTTTTGAATTAATATCTCTTTTGTTATGTTATTTTTTTTTTTTTTTTATTGAGAAAACACAAAAGCTGCATCAACCACGCAGGGTTATTAGCGGCTGGACGACAAGGTTACAATGATAAGGTACATAGTTACATACAATACATAAGACATTAGATTAAATTGTAGGTATTGGATTCTTTGAGAAACTGTAGTGTTCGTTCGTAGTACGTGGTGAGGGCTTCCTTTATGGATTCTGGCATGCAAGCATGGTTTCGTGCATCTTGCGTGGCAGTGCACTCTAAGAGTATATGCTTGACGGTAAGTCTGCAGTCTGGGAGTTGGCAGGTTTGGCATGTTGGGGCTTCTTCGTTGCTGAACAGGTATTTATGTGTCACTAGCGTATGACCAATTAGCAAACGGGAGATAATCACTTGGTCGCGTCTTCTTCTGGGTAGTCTGAGGTGTTCCGTCACACTTGAGATAGCCTCCCGCAGTTTGGTGGTGCTATTGTTCCATTGGCTCTGCCAAATAGTACAGATGTGTTGATTTGCCAGGGTCATCAAATCGGTATGTGGGGTGTTTATTATTTCTAGATTGGCGTCGGTCACCGCGGCAGCTGCTGCTCGATCGGCTTTTTCATTTCCGTCTATTCCTACGTGAGACGGTATCCATAGGAATTTCACTGTCTTCATTTTGTTGGCTAGTAGGTTGATACATTGCTTTATTTCTTTAAGAATAGGGTGTTGCGGGTATAATTGCTTGATTCCTTCCAGTGCACTCATGGAGTCGGACAGAATAAGTATATTCCTTGTTGCGGTTGCCTCTGCGATACTTAGGGCTAACTTGATAGCAGTTAGCTCTCCGGTAAAGATGCTGCTGTGATGAGGGAGAGATGCTGTTTTCTTGTTGTTTTCATGAATTGCTGCACATCCCACTCCATTTCGTGACTTCGAAGCATCGGTAAAGATGAGCATATGATTTTTGTAGTGTTCAATTACTTCTCTGTATTTATTTTGGATGACTATACGATTGGTTTCTCTTTTGGTGTAACAGTTAAGCGATGTATTAATATCGGGTAGGCGCATTGTCCATGGGGGAGAATATAACGAATATGAGTACGTGTGCTGAAGATTGTTTAGGTTGAAGTCGGTACGAATAATACGCTCTGATATTGGGCAGTCTCTGTAGTTGCTGTATAATCCTCTGGAAGAACACTTGACAGTAATGTGGTGAGCAGGATTGTCTGGTAGGCTTGAAATTTTGGCGGCATAGCGTAGAGCAAGGTATTCTCTTCGAAGGTGTAACGGGGGCTCATTAGCTAGGACATGGATGCTTTCCACCGGTGAAGTTCTTAGTAAGCCATATGCCAGTCGTATTGCCTTGTGTTGTAAAACGTCAAGTTTTTTTAGAGAATTTTTACTTGCGGTTGTATAGCATATACTGCCATAGTCGATTTTGCTTCTTAATATAGCGCGATATACTCTCATTAGTGATAAGAAGTCACTTCCCCAAAAGGTATTTGCTAAGACTTTAATAAGGTTCAAACGTTTTTGACACGATGATATTAATTTTGTTATATGTAGATCCCACTTCAGTTTCGAATCAAGTGTCATCCCAAGAAAAACTATACTGTCAACTTTCTGAATTCTGGTGCTGTTCAGAGAGAGTACGATATTGTCACTGGTGCGTCTAGATTTGCTAAATATAAGGTATTTGGTCTTATCGCTGGAGAAACGAAAACCTGTTGTAGCTGCCCATCTCTCCATTTTATTGATTGATTGCTGTATGATGCTTTGTCCTGTGGGTAGGTTATTCGTTGGTAAGTATATAACTAAGTCATCTGCGTACATCAGTGCCTTTACTGGTGTCTTAAATAGTTCAATTAATCCATTGATCGTTATTAAAAAAAGTGTGACGCTTAACACGGATCCCTGTGGTATTCCATTTGCTAATGTTCTTTCGTTGGACATCTTTCCGTTGGCTCTCACCCTCGTGGTGCGGTTACTCAGAAAGTTTTGTATGAAACCTAAGAGATTCCCTTTGATTCCCATCTCAATCGCGGATTTTATGATAAGATATCGCCAGGTGGTGTCGTAAGCTTTGTTTATATCGAAGAATACAGCTATAACACTTTGGTTGTTTGCGAATGCTTGCTTGATGGTGGATTCCAGTACTACAGTATTATCTGTCGTAGACCTGTTGCTTCGGAAACCATTTTGTAAGTTGTTAATTTGTTTGTGTTTTTCTAAAAACCATAACAGGCGTTTATTGAGGATTTTCTCCATCAGCTTGCACATAGAACATGTCAGCGATATCAACCTATACGAAGCAGGGTCATCTTGAGGCTTATTTGGCTTTAGGATGGGGATAGCAATGGCTGTCCTCCAGACGTCAGGGAATTGTCGGGACACCAGAATCTTATTGTATATGTCTATCAAGATTGATTTTGCCGTCAATGGGAGGTGTTTCAAGAAAGAGTATGGAATATCGTCAGGACCCGGGGAAGTACTTCTTGATGTTCTTAGTGCTTCTTCCAGTTCTTCTATTGTAATAAGGCTGTTTATTGGACTGTTATCGTTCGGTACGGTGATAGTATCACCTTCAACCTGTGACTTGTACTGGAGAAAACAAGGACTGTAGTTGATTTCGCTACAGTGTGCTGAGTAGACGTCAGCAAAGATTTCTGGGATAGCTGATTTGTCAGATACTACTTGGTTATTGTATTTTATAGAGGTTATTTCGTAGCTTGTTTTTGATCCACTAATGCTCTTGATTTTATTCCAGGTCTGCGATGCAGGTGTAGACGAGTTAATAGTGGATACATAGATTCGCCAGGATTCTTTCTTGCTTTTCTTGATATGATATCTGGCTTTTGCTCTAGCTTGTTTAAATTTTCGCAGATTTTCGGCTGTGTTATGTTTCTTGAGGACATTGAAACAATGTTTGCAGGTGGCTATTGCATTAGAGACTTGTTGATTCCACCATGGGACTGGTTTTCTGTTACAGGTTTTCGTTTTTCCTACAGCAATGTGAGCGGCATCTTTTATAACGTGAATCAGGCTGTCGATCTCGATATTGATGTCTTCACAGGTGGGAAGTAATGGTAGGCGTTGTTCAACCTGCTGTTGGTATTTATCCCAATCAGCTTTATTCAACTTCCATCTTTGTGTAGTGGATGCACAAGAAGCATCATCTTTACTATGACCAATAGTTATAGGATAGTGGTCACTATCATAGAGGTCAGATAGGGGGTTCCAGTGGAGAAAAGGGGCTAAAGAAGGGTCACAGAAAGATAAATCAATGGACGAGAACTTCCCATTGAAAGCATTGAACCTAGTGCTGCGACGATCATTAAGTTGTATGAGACCAATATTGTCAAATATGTTTTCTAGCTCCATGCCGTATCTTTCAGAGAAGTCTGATCCCCAGCATATATTATGACAATTAAAATCTCCTACTATGATTCTGGGCATGGGAATTTGTAGCAGCAAAGACTCTATTGCGTTAAAGTCTATATCTTTTGGGTGTGGTATGTATATATTGCAGATATGTATGGTTGAGTGGTATGTGATCGACACGGCAACAGCTTCCAGATCTGTAGTAATGGGAAGTCTTTTTGCTTGTATAGAGGTTTTGGTGAATATTGCTACTCCTCCTGCTGCTCTATCCTGATTTGGTCTATTTTTGTAAAAGCTAGAGTAGTTCTTGAGTGTGTGGCTGTGATTATCATTCTTGAGGTGAGTTTCTTGCAGACAGATTACATATGGATTATTTTCACGTATTAGCAAGTTGAGCATTTCTTTATGGGTATAGTACCCGTTCAGATTCCACTGAATTAGAAACATGAAAATATCTAGTATGTTGAGAAAGAGGATCCCGAGACTTCGCCATCGGATGATTCTAGATCCTTTTCTTCACTGTTTTTGGATGATAACGTTTCTAGATGTTTCGCTAATTTTTTTCTGATTTTTGTAATTTTTATTTTTGTGCTCCTATCCTTTAAATGTGAGTATAGTTCAGCTAAAAATTTGTTCATATCCGGTATGTTATTTGTGTAGTTTCTAAAAGTTGCTATTATATCTTTGGATTTATATGTATTTTCTATCATGTCCGCTACCTCTGACACGTTTAGCTTGGTTGACGTAAACCGTGAGTTTATGAATTCCTCGGCGGGTTCCAAGGATTCCTCAGAAACTTTTGATGTTTTGATTCTCTTAGTGGGGGCTTCAGTTAATGTAGGCTGGGTGTTAGTAGATACGGGGGATGTTGAGATTGTCGTTTAGGTCGAGTTTCCTCTGATACAGAGTTGTCTTGTATGGTTGCAGTCATGTTTAAGCTCAATGTATTAGTTTTGTTATGTACATTAGATGAATCTAATCCCATTCTTGTTTCGGTGTCTTCATTTCTGGATTGTGATTTGGGGCATTTTTCCAATGTATGTCCCGTTTGCTTGCAAAGAGTACAGCTTGGTCCGTCTACGGAGAAAAATATCCTGTATGTCGTTTCCTCGAAGGTTATAGTGGTAGAGTCTACGATTTCGCTAACAGGTGGTGCAATATACACTTGTCGACGGAAACTGAGAATGTGATTGTATTCATTCTCCGGCATTCCAACTCGGAGGTAAGTTATGCGGGAGAGTAGCTTCAGGCCCATAGTTGTTAGTGAACTTTCAATAATGTTGTTTGGCACAGAGGGGCAGACATTTGAAATAACTAGCCTTTGAGCAGGTGTAACAAGTCGTCTTATTTCGATGTCGTGGTCTTGGATCTTTATGGATTTGTGTTCAGTGATTATTTTGTCCACGCTATCAGTGTTACTCAGATACATACAGATTCGGCCGTTAGCAATTCTTGATGCGAACAGTATATTTTTGGGACCTACAATCGAGCCAATTGCAATAATATAATCATGGATTTTTATTCCATCTACTGCTGTTAGGAGAATCGCTTGGTTTTTTGATGGTGTTTTGCTGACTGGTTGCTGTAGGAGTGCACTGGAGTATGATGATGAAGTAGGTGTACTGTTTCTATTATTATCAGGTTGAGTCATGCTTAGATAGTTTTAGTGCGAGACTGGTTGACAAAATTCTGGAGCCGGCCCTGGCGGTACTGCTCGAACTCCGCGTGGATCTAGGTGCAGTACGGCTGACCGTACCGCACCGGTGTTTGTTTACGTTTAGCGATATCTCTTGCAGTAATGTAAGGACGTCCACTTACTTGCTGGTTTTTTGGTGACCGACGTCTTGGTGAGTGTTGGATTGATGGGTGAACTTTTCAGTAAATAAATCGAACTAATAACTTTCACACATGATATAAACTCGCAGAGTACTATCGATACTACTTTCAAGTTAGACGGTCAGGACCGTCCTCATTTTGTTATGTTATGTTCAGTAATAAAGGGGTATTTTGAATGAAATAATCCAGCTGCTTCATTCATCACTTTACGGAAAAGAATACCAAAGCACACTTCCTTTTGCACGCAGAACTGTTTATCAGCATCCTTTTCTATACCTTAAAACGACTTACTCTCAATTGGTCCGCTTTCTTACTTCAAAAAATTATAAATAGTGCAGATGACCGGTTTTAGCACCAATCCCTTCAATTGAACAACTTGGAACTTTCTTAAAACACTCCAGGTAAAACTATTAAACTATACTAAGTGACATATAAATCTGAACACCTTGTTTGAATGGTTTTATTTTAATAAAATTTTGTATAAGTACTTAATGAAGCATAATAAGTAAATGATAAAAATTTCAAAATGATTGCACCGCTTTAAAGCCCTTTGACCTTTAATAATGTGTGGATGCACCCTGATGTGCTACGCATTCTCCAACGCGCCTAGGCATGCTTCTGATCAGGTGGTCAATGTCCTCCTGTGGTATCTCATTCCAGGCAACCACCAACTCCTCTCGAAGTGCTTCTAGAGTCTGAGGAGGACGTTGCAAATTGAGCAATCTCCTACCCATCATATCCCACACGTGCTCAATTGGGGATAAGTCGGGAGATTTTGGTGGCCATGGTAACAATGTGACATCATTATGTTGAAAGAAGTCTATTGTGACTCTTGCAACATGTGGTCGGGCATTATCTTGTTGGAAAGTTGGATCTGCCAGGGTGTCGAGATAGGGTAAAAGATGGGGTTCTAGAACCTCGTGGATATAATGCTGCGCGTTCATGTTACCTCTGATGAAGATTAAAGGTGACCTGGAACCATAAGCTATAGCACCCCAAACCATAACTCCAACAGTGTGATGAACATGTCTTTCAACAAAAAACTGTGGATTCCTCCTTTCACCACGTCGCCTTCTAACCCTGGCACGACCATCGTGCATGCCTAAACAAAATCGAGACTCGTCACTAAAGACAATACTGTTCCATTCCTGATCCTAGAGTGACCGTTGCCTGCACCACTCAAGGCGATTACGTCGGTGTTCTCGAGCTAAAGGGAGGACCCAGTGTGGCCGGTATGAAAACAAGCCAAAACTTCTCATTCGTCGGTAAACACTTCGCATGCCAATAGGTCTTCCGTGTTCTGCAAACCATTCATTTGCAATGGACCTGGTAGTGGAGAAACGGTCCCTCGAGGCCAATAATCTTAGGCGGCGATCTTCACGGTCTGTTGTTCTACGGCGGCGTCCAGTGCCCCTTGCTCTTTGCGTACGGCCTTCTCGAAGCCATGCCTGACAACACCTAACCACAGTGTCTACACTTCTTTGCACTCTAACTGCAATTGCCCGAAAAGAAAGTCCAGCTTCCCGAAGTCC